TGTCTTCTCCTGTAAGCCTGCCTAAACATCCAGCCCTCAATTTAAAACAATGGATTCCTGCTTTCCCACGGAGTTCCTAGAGCGTGGTTGGGCTCCCTTTGGTTCGCACCCAGGGTTCCAGGGCCAAGGGAATGTCACACAAAACTGGAGCAGTAACATCTCTACTTGTCTAATGGATTCTGGGCTGGCGCATAATACCAGAGAGCTTAATTCCAGGCATGCAAGAAATTATGAAATCTTCAAATGTATGTGCCTCACTGGTGCCTATGTAGCTCCAAATATCCTTGCAAGCTCTGTACGAATCCAAAAGCCATATATGCACAAAAAAACAAAAGTGTGCACGCACTGGATAGAGCAGATAAAACCATTTAAAATAAAATAAGAAAACTAAAATTCCACTTGCAATGAAGTGACTTGATCAGGGAATATAACCAAGAGAACTCGTTCACAGGAACGCCAGGACACGTCAACTGATGTTGACAGGATCTCTCTAAGAAGTTGGCAATAGGACAGGGAAGAAGCCAGGATAGATTCACTAAGGTGGACACTGGGAGAACCATGGGGAAAAATCCATGGCGAAAAAACTACATCCAAAACCATCCCATGTTAGTACCAAAACAGGGACCCAAGTTGCATCCCTTGGTGAAAGAAAGTAATAGGATATATGAATTCCCTGATCAAGTCACTTCATTGTAAGTGCAACTTTTATATTTTCGTTTTTAAAAGTGGTTTTATCTACAGTACACTGTGTGCTCCGTTTTCAATGAATGCTGGGAATTATAAGTTTAATATACAGAAGATAAACCTTAATCATTTTATTCATGTTAGTCTCAAAGTACAAAGAAAGATTTTGAATAAACATATGGTTAGAGTAAACAATGCTTTCATTTGCCTGCAGTTCTGTGTTAAGGTGCCCATACACCTGCTGATTATCGTACGATAATCGCGGGTGATCCCGCGATCGTACGATAATTGCCAGGTGTATAGGCAGCGTGCGACCGCTTCTACTGTAAGGTCGCACGACTTTCGTCTTCCGAGCACGCTGGAAAACCAAAAAGGTTGGTTGGTGGCGTGCTCGGAATTTCATTATCACTTTTAAACTAGAGCAAGATTGTCTGTCCTAACAAAGGGTTAAAGCCCTAAAGACATTAAAAAGGAGAACTATGAGGTGAGTGCTTTTCACTCACCTCATAGTTCTAGCCGACCTGCGACAATGAGACTGTCACAGGTCGGCTCAGTAGATCGGGAGGTGAGCGAACGCATACTGGGTTCGCTCGCCTCTCGATCCTGTCACGGCTCTCTGCCGTGACAGGGGGAGGGGCTGGATTCCCCTCTCCCTGCTCCGATCTGCCAGCGCTGACTGGCGGAACGGACGGGGGAGGGGCGGGTACAGCTGGCTCTGCCTCTAGATAGGCAGAGCCAGCTGTCACTCACGCAGCTGGGCGGATCCCGTCATCTAAGTCGGTATCCGCTCCGGCTGCGGCGTCTCAGTATACCGCGAGCTGTAGCTCGCGGTATACTGAGCTTAGGGTAATGGGAGGACGCTAGTTTGTGTCCTCCCGTTACCCTGAGAACTATGGGGAAAAACACTGACCCCATAGTTCTCCTTTAATGAGGGAGAGCTCAGCCTCTCCTGTTATTAGGACAGACAGAGTTTCCGATTATTGAAATTGAGAAAAGACCTGCCAAATGGCGATATCTAAAAGGGAAGAATTTTTTTTTTTTTAAGTATCTTTAGATATGCTGTGTGAATAGGAACACATAACAAACATCAAGTGGGGTTTTATTAAATTTGACTGCAAATGTGCAAATACACTTTGAAGTGCTTTTACTGCTTGTTCCGAATATGTAGCTACTTTAGTGTGCATAGTCTGGGCACAGGTTTACTTTTTCAAGGAAACCAGTCATGAAAGAAATATTGGGGCTGCTACTGTTGATCTCCTTCTGAAAATGATTGTTGCCTGGTTCTCTTGCTGACTTCTGATGTCACTGCTACTTTTACATTCTGTCCACAAAGCGTCTTCTGCATGCATTTAAAATCTCATGTGGGTGAAAACACCTTTCACCTGCACATAATGCAGTTTTAACATTATAATTGATGTGTGATTTGACTATGTGCACCTTAAAGCGGACCATTACATTCAAAACTCAAATTCTACCGATTTTTAAATACTTACACTTGCAGAGAAGTCACTTCCTGCTTTGAAAGGGCAAATATGACTTCAGTTTGGCAAAGCAATGCACACTGGTATTGCCTTGTCATCAGCAGAGCATTGCTGGGAAATCTCATCTGTAATCTCAGGAGATCTCAGGGAAAGGCATTTTCTTTCCCTGAGATAAGGTGCATGGTCACATGTCCTAGTCACATGTGCCAGAAATCCAGGAAGTAATAGGGGAGCTAGTAATCCGCCCTTAGTAAACATGGCCACTGCCAGAAGACTGGTGAAGAAAAGAAAAATAAGGAATGCAAAGAATACAAAGCCGGCAATTATCTAGAAGTATGTGTTTGTAGATTGTTATTACTAAACATTTCTAAAAGGTGTGTTTGTTGTTATTTTAAAGCTATGGGTAAAGGTTCGCTTTAAACTATGTAGCTCAAACAATTGACACATGTTCATAATTCATGGCACCATTTTGATTGGATTTAGGTGACGGAGTTACCTGTGTAAATATGTAAGTATTGGGGAATGTCATACAAGTGCTGGGGTAGGTTCCTGACACCTAGTAAAACTAGGAAGCCACTTGTAAATGTGGTGCAATGCATTTAATATTACAGAACAAGTCCAGACAAATTTTACAAACTACTACCAGCTATTCCATGACCTGGATAAATAAAAACTGTAACAGATATAAATTCAATCAACAATTTAGGACTTGCTTAGGGCCCCAATACTAATGGATTCTCCAGGCTGTTCACACACATTATCACAAATGATCTGTAACAATAAACCTTCTAATGGCTTCAGACCTTGGAAACACAGGACTAAGACACAATTATGAGCAAATATAAACATCTCTGCTTTGAAAAAACATAAAATTTCCCATAATACTATGAAGAATGGCAACATGGACACATCTTTTACCACAGGCAAAATGTTTTTTAATCACACAAAATTGTTAAATATGTAAACAATCCCAGATTCCATCTAATTAGTTTAGATACGAAATGTGTTTTTACTAAATAGCTACCCATGGTAAGGTTCAGCATTGCATGCTTATTATTGAGCAAGGAAGGTATGTTATATAACTTCTGGAAACTACATTGTGTTACTGCCATCTAGTGGCAACATGCTGCACAAACTAGAAATAAAGTGTGCTCAGTATGTTTCTTTGTATACATATATCATATTAATCACTAATGAACTAATGACATGTTGGGCAGTTTGCCAGGAAGTTCCTCTGTCATTGTTTAAAAGTAGTTATTTGTCTTGCATTTGCCTGCAGCAAAAATAGACTAACATTTGAAGGGGCATCTTTACCTCTCTTTATAGCCTAAAGTGGAACAGTGGCCAGGGTATTGACATTCAAATACTTTCAGATACTTACAATTCCAATTACTATGTGATGCACAAGCCTTCTAAAGTAAAGCAAACATTTACCATTCCTGATGAAGACAAATCCTCCTTAATTTGTGTCTCACACACTCCCCCTCACAGACACTGCAGCTCCCAGTGGGAGGGATTCTGCAACAGGGGCAATGCTGTCAATACAGAGAGCTGTGGGCGGGACTAAGCGTGGCCAGGTTCTGACGGACAAGAAACAGTGCTGCAGCACATATTTTTATTTGGAGGCCATAGTTCCACTTTAAAACAAGCTCTTGCTGATCTCTGTAGCTGAAGACACTGTGCAGCAATTCATTCTCAAAATTCACAACAGGAGCAATGAAGTTGTTCAAGTCACTTTGCAGTACTCTGCTCATCCCTCCCACTGTATACCTGCTCTGTGTTTACTTTAGAGGTTAGAAGGCTGGCAGCTACAGAAGCCAGAGAAGGCTCGTTTTAAAGCTCATTTACTGCTTCACTGTCCATAATCTGGTCACAGTTCTACTTTGAATAACTGTTAAATAGACTGTTGATACACACATACTGTACATACAGCCAATCATATTTATGGTTCTGTGCAAAGAGATAATTGATACTAAATCACTATATCCACAATCATGAATGAACAGGAAGTGATGTAGAGCACTTCCGTTTCATTTATAATGTGGGACACAGTAAACATACTCTGTCCTCAATTATTTACAAGCAGTCAGCGATCAGCTGATCACTGAGTGCTTGTACCCGCTCACCATCCTGACTCGCTGTCACAGGAGGCTGAGCCGGCAGTGTGGGGAGGAGAGCTCGTTCTATTTTGACAGTGCTCTCATCCACGCCCCGGTTTCTGAACGTTTCTCTCCTCCCCGCTGGACGCTGCGCTGTGTTATAGGGGACATAGAGCAGTGCCTAGGGGAGAGGAAAGAAACTAGGAATGCACCACAATTTTGGATGAAAGATGGTAAATTGCCAAAAGCGCCATTTTTGGCCGATATGTTTCGGCAGCCGAAATTTCGGTGCATCCCTAAACATTACAGAAGCTGCCGTTTTAAAGGTAATTTTGAATAACATTAAATTGACTTGTCTGACAATGATATGCTATATTCAATGTTTAAAGATTTTTTTTTATCTTTTAAAAAGTAGAGTTACTCTTTAAGCAATCAGCAGCTGAAATGGTGTCTTTTTTAATGCAAATGAATATTTCCGGACTTTTAGAGACAAGTCACCTAAAATACATTTTGAATTCTTAGAAGAGTGTTTTTAGGGAAAATAAAACTCCATCAAAATGTTTTTTTCCAGCTCTACGTGGAAAGACGAAGGGTGCACCCGGATCCAAAAGAGTTATGAAATGATGGGGCGATTGAACCTAGACTGACTTCACATAAAAACTAAAAAGGTCTTGAGGGTAGTCCTGCTGTTCAGGTTATTTGTTAGAATAAACACAAAATGAATAATGAAACTTACTTGTATAAGACGGGTCTGTCTTGTAGAGCATCCATCGCTTGAGACAGAATAGGAGATATGTCACATGATTCCTGGGTCAATGTTCTGCACTCATCTACCATTAAAAAACAAAAAAAATAAGGCCGACTTCTTATCACAATAGTTACATAGTTACATAGTATTTGGGGTTGAATAAAGACATACGTCCATCAAGTCCAACCCATATAGGTCCACGCATCATCTCATTCTTAGGGATGCTGGTATCCCTGGATACTGTATGCATAGCTTTCTAATGTGATAAACAAAACTCACCCTATATTGTCCACTATATTTAAACCAAAAAGAACATACACCCCAGATATTTCCTGCTCATAACCATATTCACAGAGCAATGGATTGCAGAAACCTACAACAATCACTCACAGATCAGCTATCAACAACACTCAGAATTTTATAAAGTGATCTCTGAGTGACTACTATTAGTTATCGCTGCTCTATGTACTACGTTTTTATTGGACAATTCCACCCAAACCAGTATTCAATTTTGGGAAGACCGAGGAAGACCACTTTGGTCCACCATGACCAATGGCAAACTTTTTCCCTTCCTTTGCAGTCAAGTCAGGCTTAGCTCACCATTATGACAGGTATCGTCTGCATGTGTCTTGTTCATACAAGGAGTGTCTATCCTTCAGCAAGCTGCAACTGACGGAGGCACAGTTTTTATTCTTGGGCCTTCTCAGGTCACTCTGCAAGCATCAAGACTAAAGAAGGCTTACTAATCCTTTTTACTGTAGAAGCTCTTATAAGCACCACTGCAAGTTTTAAAGAAAAAAAGTACACTTACTCTGAGCCCATCGATACAGTCGCTCATAAGATGTCTCTTGGAGTAAAGCCATCTGCTCCATAATTTCTAACCTAACAACAGAACAAAATCAACACAGTTACAGACAAGCTGAAGAATGGAGCAAGAGCTAGTGTATCCTTCTTTATGACTGATATGAAATCACAGAGGCACATTACTGTATGCATCTATTTGATCTATGTGTATCCATCACACAGTATGGTGTGCAAACATCACTCTGGAGCTAAGGTACACTGAATTTCTATTATGTAGATTGTATTGCTAGATGCAGTCAAAAACTGAAAACCTGAATAACGTATCAGCATAAAATAGCCATCCAGAATTTACATCTTTTGTTCAGTGGGTGATTAAACATAGGTAAGAAACTGATTGATTTATCTGCTTTGCTCCAGTCTAAAAGGGGAATTCTTGCACATGAAGACATTAACACATTTATATATATTTGAAAAAGTTGAAGTTGTAAGGAGATGTACGAGGAATGACATACCCGGGGCCTACTAGTTATTCTTGTCTGAAGACCTAACCTTGCAGAAGGAGGTGCTATACACAACAAAGCAGCATTGTTGATTCATTGCTGGTGTATCCGGGATGGCAACAATCGGGAGTTAGAGGTTTCTGCAGTCAGAAGAGACTCATCTTGAGCTGTCTCCCACCAGTAACACTCTATACACTGGGGTGGCGGCACTTACAGGCAGGGATTAAACTTAAAGCACAAGTGTACATTTGGCACTTTATCCAGGTAGCCTTCAAAAACAGGTCAGTTGAAGGGGGTTCATGTTTTGCTGATAATCAGACACAGGGTCCTTAGCACTAAACTATATGTTTATATTCTCCTCCTGCTTATCCCAGCCAACACTAGAGGGAACGAAAGGAAAGAAGAGTCCATGGGCCATGTGTAATACCAACAGAGTCCATCTCTCTTCTTATCTTTCATCTCCCTCTAGTGGTAGCCGGGAACAGCTTCAGCATAACAGAACAGTACTAGAGGCTGCTGGTTATCAGTTTTCCCTGTGAAATTAACTTATTTTGAACAGACTGCCTGGAAAAGTAACAATACAGAATGATTGCAGGGAGTTCAGCTGTATTCAATAGGGTACCAGAATTGTAGCTACATTTAACAGCCAATTCAAGGCCAATATTCAATCAACCTACAAGTGATAAGCGGTCCGCCATTGAAATAGTATGGTTCTAGAACTTGCAGAATACAATAAGGGAATATACTTTAAGGACTTTTTCACAACACTGTGATTGCCCGCACCAGAACGCGTGGCACATCCATGCCTGCCTTCTGGTCCAGGGCGATCTGAAAAAAGGCTGCATGCATTATTTCTTTCAGGTCGCACTGGACCGGAATGCAGGCATGGATGTGCCATGCCATGCATTTAGGTGCGTGCGATCGCACTGTGGCATCATTGCCTTCAATGCACCGCCACGCACGCCGCCCCCCCTCCAAGAACGCAGGGGAGAGTCTAGTATGCAATACAGTGCATTCCAGCAGCTTCTCAGTGGTGTGAACAAGTCCTACGGCTAAGCTACTGGAAAACAGCCACATAGAGGGATACATACACACACTGGCCGCTCTATTGGCTAAACTTGTTCAATTGCTCGTTAATGCAAATATCTAATCAGCCAATCACATGACAGCAACTAAGAACCAGAATGGGGAAGAAAGGGGATTTTAGTGACTTTGAACGGGGCTTGGTTGCTGGTGCCAGGCGAGCTGGTCTGAGTATTTCAGAAACTGCTGATCTACTGGAATTTTCTCCCACAACCATCTCTAGGGTTTACAGAGAATGGTCCGAAAAAGAGAAAATATCCAGTGAGGGCAGTTCTCTGGCTGGAAATTACAGAGATAATGGTCAGACTGGTTCAAGCTGATAGAAAGGCAACAGTAGCTCAAATAACCACTTTTTACAACTGAGCTATGCAGCATACCATCTCTGAACACACAACACATTGAACCTTGACGCAGATGGGCTACAGCAGCAGAAGACCATACCGAGTGCCACTTTTGTCAGCTAAGAACAGGAAACGGAGGCTACAATACGTAAGGGCTCACCAAATTTGGACAACAGAAAACTGGAAAAACTTTGCCTGGTCTGATTGGTCTCGATTTATGTTGCAACATTCAGATGGTCAGGTCAGAATTTGTCGTAAACAACATGAAAGCATGCATCCATCCTGACCTTGTATCAATGGTTCAGGCTGGTGGTGCTGTAATGGTGTGGGTGATATTTCTTAGCGCACTTTGGGCCCCTTAATACCAATTGAGCATTGATTCAATGCCACAGCCTGCCTGAGTATTGTTGCTGACCAAGTCCATCCCTTTATGACCACAGTGTACCCATCTTCTGATGGCCACTTCCAGCAGGTAAACGCATCATCTCACAAATCTAAAATCATCTCAATCTTAAACATAATGAGCGGAATTTATCAAATCTGGAGTATTTGTGCATGGCAACAAATCAGCAGCTCTCCTCAGTTTGCACATTTGAAAATGAGACAGAGAAGCTGATTGGTTGCAGTGCAAATCTGCGCCACATTTCGACTGCTTCAGTTTTGATAAAATTCCCCCCAATGAGTTCACTGTACTCAAATGGCCTTCACAGTCCCCAGATCTCAATCCAATAGAGCATCTTTGGGATCTGTTGGAACAGAAGATTCTCATCATGGATGTGCAGCTTACAAATCTGCAGCAACTGTGTGATACCATCATGTCTATATGGGCCAACATTTCCATTTCACCTTATTGAATCTATGCCAAGAAGAATTAAGGCAGTTCTGAAGACAAAAGGGGTCCAACCCAGTACTAGCAAGGTGTACCTGATAAGGCCCCATTCACACTGAGCGATATCGCTCATACCAGTGACTGTATATGTGTCTTATCTTTTTAACTTCCTTCAGCCAGGCTTGAGATTCTGCCAGCCAGCACAGCGGGGTGATCCCATTATTCCACACCGTCCTTTTTTTGTACAACGTTTACAATTTTTAAAAAAAATCACAATATTTCCAATAATCACATTTCATGTAAAATAGTATACCTAGGCGTCCCCATCAGGATGCCTGCTACTAAGTATCTCCTATATAAAAGGGAAAAATAGCAAAATGTACAACATACTGTATATAACAAAAGACACAAGTCTCCGCTATTGCTAAAAGTCGCTAAAGACATTTCTTTATTTTAATATAAATATATTTTCTAGATGGCAGCTCGTTGTGTGAAAAGTAGACGTTTGCAAAAAATAAATGGTAATAAATGTTAAAACATACACACAGAGAATGGCATAACATAACTAGAAACTTACCCTGCAGTTTGCTGGTTTGTGCGCAGAAGCACTTTGACATCATTATGGATCTGTTTAACTTTATTCAGAACCTTGAAGAACTCCTTTACATAGGAACAAATGATATGTTTAGAATCGTTAAGATCAACAAGTTAGAAACCCGCTGCCGATTTAAAAGGTTAGTTCACCTTTGCAATAAAGTGCACTATGCAGAGGAAAACATAACACATTCAATGCTTTCAAGACTGGCATGGCTGCAAGAAAGTAATAGTTGGGTTTGAAAAAGATAAATAGCTAGTTATGAAAGATAAATAGCTAGTTATAAAATTGAAGCAAAGATAGTTGTTAAGAACTATAAAAGCTCAAACCCAGCAAATCCGTTAAATACACAGATAAAAATACATATGATGTAGCTGCTTTCTTGCTAAAGGATTTTTAGTTCTGTCCATCCATTCCTGATATTTACACGTCTGCCACAAGTAAAGCCTTGTTTAGCAGAACAGGGCACCTGATTTTTCTCTCCTGTAGCTAAGTAACACCTACACCTATTGTCTCTCCCCCATCGTGTGACTGGACGGCGAAAAGAAGAAGCAGCAAGCAAAATGAGTTCAGCTCTCTGCTCTCTCCTCTTATCCCATACATGACCCTTGTTAGCCCATAAGCACTGCAGCACAGCTTGCTGCTTATCCATCTCCCCGCCTGCTGTATGGCAGACTGAAAGAGGCTGGAACTAGGACCAATGCAGATACTTACTCTGGTTGCATTAAAAAAATATAATTATTTTGTATTGCTTGTATTTTATATCTGCCTGAGATTTAGCTTAAAAGGGAACTAAAGCCACACTTTTTTTTTTTTGCTTTAGTCCTCTTCTGGGTCAAAGGTGTACATTTACTAATGTCCTCCTGTGACCCAAAGATAGCATCTAGCAGGCTACTGCGTGACATATGCTGAAAGCGCAGAGCCGTGCTGCAGCCTGATTGACAGCTGCCTCTGCCTCTCCAGAGCCAGAGTCAGCTGTGCCCATTCCCTCCCCTGTATGTCAATCCAATGAGCACTGGAGGAACAAAGAGGGGGAGGAGGAATGCCTGGCGGGGGGCAGTGACTAACAGTCACCACTCTCTGCAGGAAGAAGACCGTGAGCTGAGTGATCAGCGGTTCCTGATCGTTCAGCTCTTGATCTATAGAGCAAACATGTGACAGCTGAAGTGTCACACGTCAGCTGTAAGTATTGGGAACAGTATATTTTACTATTCCAATACTTCTCCTTCTCTACAATGACATGCAGTTTGGGATAGATGATTGTCACTATATGCAGGATAAATGCATCTGGGGACAATCATCTACTACAAACCACATGTAATTGTACCATGTATGAAAACATGCGGACTGCCGCAGACAGATGTGACCGCTGTCACCCTTGAGTGGATACAGTGGTCATTCTCTACCAATAAAAAGTTGGTTGTGGTCTTTTTCTTGAGAACCCCATCCAGGGCATGTATCTATAACTATAATTCCACTAGATCTCAAACATAATGAGGGAAAAGAGTAAATAAAGTTACTCCTTACTTCATTCAATGGACCTTCATGGCTTCCACGTAAAGTGCTCATCTCATCAGATGCAAGCTGGAACTTTTCTAGGAAAGCGTTTGCAACTTGGGCTCGAATCTCCAGTCGCTGACTGCAAAGAAAGAACAAAATTCAAAAACAATTAAATTAAGTTTGTTATCATATATCAATAGTAATAAAATAAGGTTAGATACATCATCTACTGAAGGGAAATCTCTCCAATGTAAGTATAAGAAGATAACAGGTGATACCAAAGTCTCAGGAGAGGTTGTTTTGTTTCTTTTTGTAACACAAGCATTGGATTCAAGTACGCTATCCTGGCTGTAGCCAAACACAGGAATATTTAAGGCAATTTTAGTTTTCAACCAGTGTTCCAAAACATAAATTAACAAATGGATCGTTGTGACCTAATACCTTTTTTTTTTGTCCAAGCAAACTGTAAACTATAAAAATGGATAGTGGTAAGTGGCCTAGATCCTTTTAGTTGTTTTCACAATTGTAAGCGATTCAAATTTTCTAGAAATCTGTATGGCCAACATTAGTCATTCTGTAAAGAAGCATATCATGTATTAAAATCTACATAAAGTAAAAAAAATTATGAAACACATCTTCAAACAATCTTAAAATGTACTGTAATGTAAATGTATGTAATTAAATCAGAAATGGAATGCAAACACATGTCAAAACCAAGAACCGAGTAATCTGCACTATGCTACTATTTGGTGATGCAACATAAAAAAAGAAGAAGTTACCGAATATTAGAAATATATGTGAACCTGATGAAGGGTGGGGATGCCCAAAATAGTTGTTTAATGTACTTACCTGTGCACATTGGTTTGCACTGCAGCAGTAAATAAATCAATTTGTGTGGATTTGCCATTTGGTTGTCTGGCCTCCTTTTCTTGGATTCAATTTCTTTACAACTGGGTTTAGAGCCCCTTTGATACTTTGCCCTTACCGCATATATTATTTATTTTCCAGTGCAGGTCACCCCCCATTATGAAATTGCCTATAAATACGGTATAAAAACTATATGAGCATGCAACACTCCGGGTCATAGAAGTGCGTTGTACACCCATGTCCTGATGAAGTGGCCAATTAAGAGCCACACAATATGTTTTGAGTGTGTTCACTTGCTTTTAGGACTAATAAAAGCCTACCATATTAATGACACCACTTGGAAGTACTTCGTTTCCATACAGGCGCCTCTGTTAAAGTGGACCTTTATCCCTTTTTGACTAAAAATCACATCAGCATACAGCTCTGTATGCCGATATGAAATCATATTTTATCTATTAGTTAAAGTAGTACTAAGGGCTGATGAAAGCAGAGGAGCCAAAGGGCTCCTTCTGCCGTCAGTATAGCTGTGACTGCAATGGTGGGGGCATGGCCTATGGACGCACACAGCTAGGTGTGGGCATGGCCATGACCATGCACGTACGGGTGCCTGCACAGCAGTCAGCTAGCTGATGAAAGCACTAAAACATGATTTTTTATTTTAAAACTCTGACCCCCATCAACAAAAAAAATATTTTAAAAAAGGTATAATGTCGTTTTAAAACAAACATTTTTCTTTTACTTAGTTTATTTTTTCGACATCCTGTTTCACTATGGCAGAAATTAGGTAATCATGCCCAAGCGTTGCATCCTGGGAAGGTTATACCAGCAGAGCATAGAGATCTCAGGGAAAGGCATTTTCCTCCCCTGAGATGATGTGCGTGGTCACATGTCCTGGTCACATGTGCCAGAGTTCCAGGAAGTGAAGGGAGATGAATTAACCTGCCCTTAGTAAAAATGGCCACTGTGAACCTTGAAAACCCATCGGTTCAGGGAAGCCTATTTCACCTCATAAACTTTTACTTCTTCCATTAACTCATCCCACACAATTATTACATTTTGTATCACTTGCTCCCATGAGCAGGGCCCTCCTAACCCTCCTGCATTGAAACTGTATTGTATCTGTACTGTATCCCTCCATTTTGTAAAGTCCTGCTCAAACTGTTGGCACTATATAAATCCTGTATAATAATAATAAAAACCAAATTTATTGACAAACGCCGGACTACTTTTTCTACACACTAGGTGGCAGCAAAACATCATCTGTCAAACAATAACAAACTCCTTTCAAGCCTTAGATTATGGCGATTCTCTGTCAGATAAAAAGAAGTATCAGCTTGTTAAAACGTTTCTACATGTACAAATATCACTCTTTGGCATATTACTACTTTGAATTACGGAACTTTCTAATGCACTCAGCACCCAACATTTATATAAAATCACAGCAATGCTACAAAAGCAGAAAATCCTAACGCTGATTACTATTAATACAAAAAATCTACACAATGTAATCATTTTATATGTTGCAGCATCCGTATAACGCCTGCCAATAATGAAACAATAACAGTACCTCTCCTATTTGCCGGGATCTCAAGGAAATAACATTTTGGATATTCTGACCTTTAACATTTTACGAAACTCAAATTGGAGACTAAAAAGAAAAAAAAGTTTTGGTTCTTAATGAACAGCTTGTTTTAAGTACAGAGTTCATGAGGGTGCCTGGCGTCGCTTGCAGTGATGTGAAGTGTATTGTAATGTACTGCGCTGGCTCATAATTATGCGTATCAAAATGAGGGGGGACAAAAGTTCCATTGACAACTTAAGACAAGTTGGAGGAAGACAAAAGGTAACGGATCATGGGAATGTTCCACTGCACAGTCCCGCTTTCTGATCTCAGAAGGGCCCTAATGAAGCCCTACACCCCAGTCTGGCGAGTTTCCATGGAAACCAGATTCCGGTGCAACTGCCCTCATGCTGTTAAGAAAATGATGGTCCGTTCTCTCACACAGAGTACAACACAGCACTCTGCTCTGAGCTCACAATGGAGACCAAAGTGACTTTTCATTCATCGATTGTTGCTCATTAATGCTGATTCTGCGGGTCCGTCCTGTAGAATGATTTCACACTTCTGGAAGAAACTGTATTAAAGGAGATTACATTATATAAAATTGTTATGATTACAGTCTCATGAATTGGTGTAAAAGCTGTTCCAAACTGGTGATTATAGGTTTTATTTAAACTGCAACTCCATGTTGGTACGGCAGAGCTCGGTGGCCACGTTGGGATGGAAATGATCGGACTGCGCAGTGAACATTCAATGGCTGGCTCATTCGGGACAGGATGGAGCTGTGCAAAATATTGGGCGTTTGTCAGGCAGGCTGCGCTAGTGGTGCAAATGGCCTACAGGTATGGCGTACAGTACACAAGTTTTAAAAAGCCGTTTAATTTATGGTTACCAATAGGGGCTGTGACATACGCCCATCCCAAACACGCTGTACGTCAATCACACGAGACTATACACAGTTCTGAACCGAGTGTGGGCGTCACAAGGACGTGGCGATACCACTCTCAGCCTCACCCTGTACAGAGATTTCCCAGCTCGTGGGACACAATCTCAGGCCAGCAGACTGAGAGCGATCGTCACCAGGGTTGGTTAATCCTGCAGTTAACCCTTTACACACACAAACGTTTGCTGCCACCATCTGGTTTTTAACAGAAACACAGACCATTCCCAGCAAATGCTGCGACAATTTAAATCACTTAAACAATGCCTGTGATACCACTGTCCTCTCAGACAGGATTCACAAAACAGTAGCGCTCTTCACAGAGGCAAGGATACTTTAAGTTTGTATTCAGATTGTAAGCCCTCAGGGGCAGGGCCCTCCTTACCCTCCTGTCTTGAATTGTATTGTAATTGTAATGTCTTCCTTACATTGTAAAGCGCTGCGCAAACTGTTGGCGCTATATAAATACTATGTAATAATAATAATTTAGAGTGTAGAGATAAGCTTAACGATTTTTAAGATCGTCCTTTAACCTCACTGGCGGTCTGATAATTAAATTTTTTTTTTTCCTTTTTTGTTTCTATTTATTTTTACTTTCAAATCTCCCGCCGGTTCCACCCCCCTGCGAAGCGGAAGCTCGCAAGGGACAGAACCCGGAAGACGGATGCCGGCATCGGCCGGAGGACACAGCGAGGATCGTGGACAAGGTAAGACGCTACAGTGTAATCCCGAGTGTGGCTCGGGGTTAATGCTTTTGGTAATGAAAATTACCCAGAGCCACACTCGATAATACCACCAGGAAGGTTAAAACGTGTGATGCTGAGCCTCAGTGATTAAAATATATATATATATATACACACACACACACACACATACACATACACACACAGCATGGTCAAGTAAAATTTCGCCTCATTCACAAAGTGAACGGCTTATTTGCCTTTAGTAAAGCAACCCCATTGAATCAACATGGCAGCCAGAGAGGAGAAGTCGGTTATTTTAACAAATGTACTTCTAAAAGCAAAAGTTTTCTTTCATCCGCCACACACTCACAATTCGTATTTTTATTTAAAAGAAAAATGGTTAAAAAAAAAAAAAAAAGGTAGAAGAAAGTGATTGCTGCGTCCTGTTTTACAAATAACAAATTTACCCTAAAAAGAGCCAATGTGGGCCAATTACAAGGGTTATGGCAATGATCCAATTCCCAGCAAAGCTTCCCTCTCACAGTATAAGCACATACACAGTAACTGGAAAAAGCAATTTTTAAAAGTCATTATACAATGTTCTCACCTCGGCCTCATTTTACTTTGTAATAAGTCTCCAGCAATCAAATGAATTAAAGTTTAGATGAAATAAGCAATTCTCACTTACACTGGTTCTTCACATCACTAGCACCTAGAACCGTATTTTTATATCTGCTGTTAAGACATGAATAGATCTTTTTTTTTTTTTGCTGGATAATTACTGCAAGTAGAAAATAAGACAAGTCAAGCAATGTAACGAGTCTGCAGACCAGTGCTAAGGGAAACACATGAGCTTGGTACATTAACACCTTCTTAAAGCGGACCTTTAGGCTTCATTCACATGAGAAAAGGCCGGTACCTACAGCTCCGTGCTGTGTGCACGGCCGTATCGGGCAGCTCCCGGGAAGGACAGGTGCTGCATGTGAATAGTACGCAGCCCCTGTCCTTCTCTTTGGGAGTACGCGGCCATATGCCACCCAACGCTCACCCCAAGTCCAGGTCTGTACGGGTGCGAGTGTCCACGGGTC